AGCAGGATTCTATCATGGGGTACAGCCAGGCTGAATTGCTCTCTACAGCAAACACCATGGATTCTAGAGGTCTTAAATATGCTTTGTTAAGCAAATCACGCAATGATAACCTGTCTTTATCCCTAGCTTGAACAGTTGCTGTAATTAATTTAAAAACATTTCTGACATAAACATTGATAAGAACATCTTTGTCTTCATAACGTTCTTGGAAAGCTTATAAAGCTTTTGAGTAATTTTCTGAAATTATTTGATAACTTTCTAATAAATGCCTAGCTCAAGTTCAAGTTCCAGGTTCTACAGGTTGTAGCGAATGTTGCAACTTGTCACAATCATCCTATTCTTTTAACTTCATGTATCATGTTAACCTGTGCCCAAAATGGCAAATAATTGATTAGCTTAGCATACAAATAAAAAATTTTGCCTTTATTGGAAGGACCTTTCTGTACTTTAGATTTCCGAATATTGCACATTTTTGTAAATGACACACATAAAGAAGGACGTTTCTTTTCTAATTTATCCTGTTCTATTATTACTCAGTTTTAATATACTATGACTAACTGTAACTGAATGCTAATTAATAAAATATTTGTTCCAATACCTTAAGAACACTCGAAATGTTAAATTCAATAACATTCTTTCACAAAATTAAAATACACACTTTATCCAAGAATATAAAACTTCTAATAATATCTTTATTCAGGCTGGAAATATTAAATATCTATTTCTATTTAACTTAAATATTAGCATGCTTTCATTCTACATTATGCATCTTCTGAAAATCAACAAATTTCAAGGAATTCCATTTTGAAAATCATAAATAACTAGTTCCATCCTAGTCGTGGATGGCAATAAAAACTATGTAATCAATTAACTATTGCTGATCAAAGTTGTCAGCATCCACTGACATATGCAAGTTCTAATTATTCATTTGGTTCAGTTATTAATTGGGTTTGAAAATAAGGAAAAAACTTCATTACCTTTTCTTGTTTGCAAGAACTGTAGACATAACTCATGTTGATGTCTCAGTTGAAAATAGGATCTCCACAGAAACACAATTTATTATTCCGACACTTCGTATTTGATTCACACATTACATAAAACATTTGTGGCTGTAAATTTAATTGAGGGGCCAGAGGTTCTAAATATGCACTTTTCTTACATGCCTGTAATGGAATGAACCCAAGCCATAAATTACTGTGGCTAATATATGCCAAAAAAGAAGCAAGGTTTAAATTCTCTCTCACTAATGGAATCCCAGGCACCATCAAGTGGGGAAAGAAATGCTAATATTTTAGATGAATTTAATCTTGTCATTAATGTGCTTTGATCTACAATGTTCAGTTTTATTTTTGTAAATTTAATAACTAACAAATATTTACTGAACTAACTGAATATTTTTCATGTAATTACAAAGTTTTAGTTTGTTCACTTCAGTTTAATTAAAATCATAGCATTTCTTTCACATACTCCATTGGAGTTATGAATTGAAGTTCTCTCTTTTCTGGTATTAAACACTGAAGATATCAGTTACTGCTCTTAAGATATCAGTGACTACTAACCATTGTTGGTAGTTGTAATTATTATAAAATGGGGATATAACATTTGCTTCAAAACTAATATCGGGATGGCTTCTTTGATTAGCTAAAATTGAATAGTAGGCTATTAATACTAGGAACTGCGACAGGATTGTTTTGATAGCCATATCAAAATGTTTATTATCCGAAGAGCAAAATTCTACCTTAAGAAGCTACAAAGTATAAAAATGCTCAGTAATTAACACACTTTTATAAATTATTTTCAAGTTGTAAAATAATTAACAGTTGTTTATTTGATGTCCAAATGTGTGCATATATGCGTATTTTTAAATAACATACCTGAACTAAATTAATAAACTTTACAAAATATAATTGTTGTAAATGACCGAAAACTTTGAAGTTAGTATAAAAAGGGCAAGGAAAACAAGTCTTCAAAATTAAAGTACCACGTGTAACAGTGGCTTACTCAGAAGTATGCTTTTAATTATCTAAGTAAAAGTGTTTGGATTTCTAGTATATGTTTGTCATACTTATTGAACTGCATTTTTATGTCTATTTTACAAAATGTCTAAATTATGTTTTCAATATATGGCAACTCTCTTTCAGGTCAGTCAAAGAATACATTTGTTCGAAACAAGAAATTATAAAATATTAAAGTCCCTTTTTGTTTTAAGGAGGTATTTTATATATTTCAGGTATTTGAGAACTAGAGGGGGGAAAGAGTTATTGCATTGTAACAAATTGTAAATGCAAAATATTTTCAGTTGCCTTTCTATTCTGCATCTTTGTGGTGTCTGATAATATTTTGTACATGCAGAAACAGTATACATTTCATCTTGCGTTTTATTTATGCTTTTCTGCACTTTGGACTAGTATTTATTTATTGATTGATAAATACTTTTCCTTTCCAGTTCACTGCGAGCTTTAATACAACATTTAGTATAATTGTTCTACATTGAGTAATTTTTTTTTTAAGTTAATCCACTCATCCCAGCTAGACTGCAAAACTATTAAAAAACTTGGATTGGCCAATGCCTAGAAAGTGCTTTTGTAGAATATATTTTATCATTTCATGTGAAATATCCATACTGCATTTTGTAGCATTTAGAAATGCTTAATGTTCTCGGAAATCATTTCACATGACCTTTACTTCATTGACATACAAGTTGATCAGGATCAAGATGTGTTTTTTTTGATATTCTTTAATATGTAGTCAGTGTTGGGTTGTCTCTTTTTTTTATAGTATTCATTTTGTGAAGGATGGCTCCAGAAATTTTTTCTGCAGATACTAAACAAACAGCTTTAAACAACTTGTTCCGTTAAGCTTGTTCCTTTGAATTTCAAGCTCTTACAGTTGTTAAGATAATGAAACTATCAGTGATGATGCTTTTCTTAGATTGAGGTTCCTGGATTGTGCTTAGATAACAAATGAATAAACTTTGCTAGTCTCTGTATGACAGTGGTGTAATGCATGTTGTTTTCTGATCATAGATTAAACTGATTATTTAAAATGAGAAACTTCTAAAAAATGTGTCTTCGGTTATCCAATGAGCAGTTTATACATTAATTTACATTACAGCACATCTGTTCTGTTATTTTATGTAACAAATACCCTTTCAAATATCAGCTTATTTGCTAACTGTTGATAATTCAGATCTCATCTAGCTCCATGATACTGTTGCATTCTGTGAAGTTAATGGAAAATTAAGGGCTTTATTCTCTCCATAACATTCTGTATTGACTCTGTAAAATCTTATAATATTATGTTATTGCCAATTGCTTTCTTCCAGCCTGTAAATAGAAACTTGCCATAGTAGGCTATATTTTGATTTATGAAATATCCTGCCGTATTTTCATAAATTGTTATAGACTAGTGTTATGGGTTATTTCATAAATTCTTACAATTGAATATTGCTAACTTATCCAGATAAGATGTGTTTTATGTGAAAAGATATATGCTAAATGCCAGTTGTTAATGTAACATTAAAAAATACTTTGAAAAACTGCATTTATTTATTTGCAGGTATCCCTGTTATAACATGATTTCCTACAACACAGTTTCACTCTTATAGAATAAGAAAAAATTGAGAAACCCAGTGGCAGGGCAGCGTAGTTTCTAACACATTAATGAATATGTGTAAGCCATCTTATGCATGCATTTTAGTAACTTGATTTTTATTCCAAACATTTACAAAAGTTACATACTATGCCATTGTGTGGAGTACATAATAACAACCTATTTATTTATAGATACAAAAGTTAATTCCAAGAATGTTCACATTTTCATCAAAATTCCTTTGTAATTGAATCATGCCCATCATTTACACAGAAAGTAGCTTGTGTTTCAAGCGTTCATTTGGTAGATTGTAAAAATTATGTAATAGTGATTTTGGAAGAATATTTAAAAAACAAAAATTGGGGGGGGTTACTAATTTACCTTTATTATTTGTAGAACTAATTATTGCAAAATTTATTTCTTTGGAGATTAAAATACAGATTTTGAATTAAAAGGAGAAAAGGCAGCATAAAATATCTAAATTTGAAACATTAAAAAAATATTTTATATTTAAAAAGTTTTCAGGGTACTTTTCCATTTTGCCGGCGCAAGCGATAAAGTCGCCAAAAATGATACAACCAATATCAAACGAAATATCCTCGCTGGTAATCTTTTACGCCTCATTTTCAAAACAATTCGCCGTGGCCATTTCTTATCAGATTGATTGTTTCTTTCAATACTGGTCATACAATTACATAGAATTTTTGACCAGATAGTTCAAATTTATGTTACCCTAAGGCCATTCGCGGTAATTAAGTCAATTAGGATGCAATCACGCTGCTCACCCGAAGGCAAAAATATAGAAAAGGCACAGTCAAGGGCTAAATTCATCAATTCTAATGAGAATGCTTTAGTGAATTAAAAAGCACTGCGGTTTTACATAATTTCTGAGTAAGCCTATTTCGTACGAATTGAAATAATTCTTGCATTTAAACTTGTATTCCAAATTAAGATATAACTTGAAATTAATGTAGATAATTACTGAGAGAATTAGATTTTTTGTTGTATACCGTGAAAGCGTAGCAAATTCTTAAATTAATGTCTTTTTACAAAATTTTAAGCCATATTAAATGTTCATACCTTCAAAATAAAAACTTCTTAGAACTAACATTTGTTAACACTTTTTATGTGTGTGTGTGTTGTCGCCAATAAAGTCTGCTTGGCGAGATTTGCGCCGGCGAAACGGAAAAGTACCGTTTTCAGAATGCATCCCCCCTACTTCATATTTGTCATTAGTCTCATATTACATGGTTTCACACAATACAGTATTTTCTAAAAACCTGTCTACCCTGTTGTAGGTGGGATATCTGTATTTTGAAGTAATAATAATTTTCTTTAACTGCTGTTTTTATATACTTAATTCAAAGCTCTGTGTATTAAAATGTTTCATTCTTCTGTTACTTAAATAGGCTGATGCATCTCTTGAAATGGAGCAGAGACACTTTTTCAATGCATCTTTAGATTATGCCTGTTTGCTGACTAAAATTCAGGAAAAAAAAAAGTTTGAATTCGTTGAAACTGTAAGTGAATTTTTTCTTGACTTAACTGAGTTATATATGAGTTAAAAATTGAGTTGAAAGTAGCAAATGTATTTATATTGTTTTCTAAAGTGCTAAAAGGAAGGCAAGTAATATGTAGAATAAATTAATGGAGTTAGTCTGAACTTGTAAAATAATTAAAAATAATTTCTTTTTTATTATTCGCATCCCACTATATATACGTATTCATGAGGCAGAATAATCAGAAAGTACTTAAAAATATGTGTAGCATCAGAATTCTTTTAATTTGTTATGTGTAATTCTATATACAGTACACAGTCTCAAATCCGGATGTCCAATATCAAGAACAATCTATTATCCAGACCATCAGCAAAAAATAACTAAAAAACAAACCTTACAAAATCTAGGAATCGAGAATATAATACTCAACAAAAAAAAGCGTGTGTCGTAATTGTGGGGTCACCCCCCTGCAGACAGATTCCTGTATATCACTTTCAAGTACCCTCTGCCTAGGCAGATGTACCATAACCAATAACAGTGTGTTGATTGGTATTGTTTTGGTGTAAGGCCAGGATTTTCAGCACTTAAATAATTGCATGAGGGGGACTGGCCAGTGCTATACATTTTACTTCCCTGCTTCTTGCAATCTGTGAGGGTCTTAAATTCTGTTGCCTATTTACCTTCCTAAATTCTAAAAATTCTGCTGCTCCCAAATTCTAAAAAATGGGCCCACCAGTGGCTGAGCGGTAAAGTCGCTGAACACTGGTAGTTCGGTCCGAGGTTCGAATCCCGCGAACGGGCTGGCTGCATGGCCATTTTCGTGGTTTTCCCCATGTGTAACGTGTATACGAGCCAGTTTCCCTTAGAAAGTCCTCCACGAAGGCATCCCTCCCCTTAGGCAGATAGCCCTCGAGGCTTTGCCATTATCACAACACACACACACACCCAAATTCTAAAAATTTTGCCATCCATAATTTTTGTGGCTTAGACCAGTGACCAGGGTACCTTTTTAATAAAATTACAAAAAAAAATCAAATTTATTTACTGAATACCTTTGTAATCAAATTACAATAACCTCTACATCATCAAAAGGAAAAATGAAATAAATAAGACTGCAGCATTGGCTTAGAGGGAGAAGGGCAAACTGGGTTAAACAGAGAGTTAGATAAGAAATGTTTTGTGCCCAAGGGTGATGACAACTTGAAGTGAGCTTGCACTAAAGAGTCAATTATCTTCTATGGTGAGGCGCATGAGCAGTAGTCGAGAGTCAAGCGGGGGGTGACAAAAGCACATTCTGTGTGCAAAGTTACTATGGAAGCAGAAGCTGTAGAAAATGAAGAGTGAGCAAAGTCGGTCTTAGGCAAAGGTAAAGTATCACATAAATTTGCGGTTTTGCTAAGAGCCTTGGGTAAGGGGTCTTTTGAGGGTCGTTATGACCTACGAGCAAAAGAAACCAGAACTGAAAGGATTAAGGGGAAGTTGTATTCAATGCTTTTTAACAAATACTTTTCAAAAAATAAATTTCAATAGTGGCCATGTAAATCTGTAATGATTAAGAGTGCCTAATTTAATTATTTTTAACTAGTTGCTCACCCTTAAAAGTTATCTCTGGGTGTTAGAGCCAGTTATTGCATTTCATCAATCCTTATTGTGGTCACAAAATACAGTACTAAAATGTTAAATAAAATTTAGTCCTTATGGCTAGTAAGACTTAAAATAAACAAAGCAGCTTATCATCTCTTGCGCTTTAGTAGCGTATTGGAACATTAAAGTATATTAACTGGATTACAACTCAGGAACTCTGTTGAAAGCTTGTGTAAGACACACAAAGCATATAACTTTCAACACCTACCAACCATGCTAGCATCAGGCATTCAGGTCTCTCGCTAGGCAAGCAGCAGCGGTGGCAGTAGTCAAGCTTCTGTCAGATAAGATGAAGATGAAACATAGAGGATGCTACACACTTCCTTCCCAGTGAAAACAATTAAGAGACATGATCCTTTAAATGGGATGGAAACCTGACGGTCCTTCCACAGCGTGTGGTATGGTTGTGATTGACTGGCGGAGAAAATTTCTCCTGAGGTTCGCACTGTGTGGGCAGATCTGGATAACCCATGTGCTTGTGGGTTTCAAGAGGCTGCTCATCATTGTCTTTTACGGTAAAACATGGTTTCAGTCTATCAATTGAAATTCTTTTGACAGTTCATTAATTTCAATTTCAAAATACTTTGGTCCTCGGTGTTTGACAACATAAGGCCCAAGATAAACTGGTTACAAAGATGGAGTGTTTGCGTTATTGTAGACGAAAACATGTGAGCGATTCAGAAGGTCTTTGGAAACGAATACGATTGTATTGCCATTGGTTGTCGTTACAGGTTTCATGTTATGAATAACACTTTGTAGCCTTCTCACAAACTTTGAGTGTGTGACAGGGATCGCAGTGACGAATTCTCCGAATAAACAGAAGGGACTTCCGTAAAGGAGCTCAGCTGAAGAGTATCCTATATCTTCTTTCAGTGCAGAGCGTAATTATAGAAGAACCAAAGGTAAAGCATCTACCCAAGATTTGCTTTGTTGTAAATAACATTTTAAGCTTGCTTTTATAATCCAGTGCTGTTGCTCAATAAATCCATTCAATTTTGGATGGTAAGCTGCTGTTCTGGATTTTTGAAAACCAAAGTATTTGCTCAGAGATGAAAATAGTTGACTTTCAAACTGACTTCCTTGATCAGGCATAATATGCTGTGGCATTCTGAAATGAGAAATCCAGGCTGCGATTATCCCCTTTGCAACTGTTTCTGCTGATTCATCTGCCATAGGAAGAGCTTCAACCCATCTTGAAAAACGATCAATCATTGTTGAAACCGTGGCATGAAGGCAAGGGTCCAACAGTATCAATGTGAACATTTTGGAAACGTTCAAGTGGAACCTTGAAGTCCATAAGAGATGACTTTGTGTGATTTTGAACCTTATATCCTTGGCATTCCATGCATTCCCTACACCATCGCACTGACGAGCTTTATTGATATTTGGCCATATGAAACTTTTTGTGATTAATTTTCTTGTGCTTCTAATCCCTGGGTGGGACTGGGTATGAATAGAAGAAAATATCTGTCGGCAAAAGTTTTAAGAGGATGTGTGGACGGTTGTTGTTGGTGGAGACATCACAATAAATTGATTTGTCGGGGAATCTGAACCATTCTCAGCCTTGGGTTGTTTTTTTAAATTGTTAAATCTTCACCATTTTGAAACACTACAGTAGTTGCATAATCGATTGGAGATGGTACTAATTCTGGAAAAAGCATCTACAATAATGTTTTATTCTCCCTTGACAAAGCGAATATTCATTGAAAGCTGAGCAATGTAACTCAACTGTCTTGCTTGTCTGGGAGAGGCTTTCTAAATTTTGTTGAAAAGCAAAGGTGAGAGGTATGTGGTCCGTGTAAATGTTAAAAGACCTTCTTTCTAATATGTACCTAAAATGCTTTATTGTAGTGTAGATGGACAAGAGCTCTCAATCATATGTGCTGTACTTTCTCTGTGTGCCAGTTAAGGAGCGTGAGAAGAAACTTAATGGATGCATCTCTCCCTGGTCAATTTGATGAATGACGGCTCCAATAGCTGTATCTGAAGCATCACATATGAGAGATACTGTACCGTCAGTTGAGGGATGAACCAGCATAGTAGTGTGACAAAATGCATTTTTGAGGTTTTTGAATGCATTGCAAGAATTTTCGATCCATGTTAGCGGTATTTTACTATTTTTACATCTTCCACTGAGTAGTGAGTTTAGAGGTTGTTAAAGCTTGGCACACTTTGGTATGAAGCGGTGATAAAAATTGGTCATCCATAAAAACCTGCGCAAGCTGGTAGCTGATGTGGGTTCGGGGATGTTTTGTATAGCCTGAACTTTCGTCGGAAAAGGTCTTATTCCTTCAGGTGTGATTTTATACTCCAAATAATTAAGTTTTGAAGTGCCAAAAATACGTTTTGCAACATTGATGCGTAAACCATAGTTGTTTAACCTTTGAAAAACTGTGCATAAGTGCTTACGGTGTGACTCTTCGTCTGGAGGGCTATTAGTATGGCATCTAAATAGCAGAATGTAAAGTCTAATCCATATTTAAAAAAAGGTGTCTGTGCCACATTGTGTAAACCAAATGTCATGAATGGGAATTCAACCAGCCCAAAAGGAGTTAAATGGCCGTTTTGGGATGTCACTTTTATGCACTGGAATTTGTTGATAAGCTTTAAGTCAGTGGATTTAAAAAAAAATATTCTTTCTGTGTAGAACCGTAGAGGATATCAATCAGTGAGTGGTGATATTATTAAGAGCCCTGTAATCTCCACATGCCCTCCAATCACCTGTTTTTTTTTTTTAGGGTGAGATCTAGAGGACTAGCCCAACTTTTTGAAGGCCTGGCAAAAACCTTGTTGGAACATAAATTCAAATTCGGCTTTTCCTGCTTTTAATTTTACGCTGAGAGTCTTCTGACCCTAGGAGCCCCATTAGTTTCAATAAAATGGTCAATAGTGTGACTTTTGATTTTATTATTGACGAGTGTTGGCAGCAAAAGATCTGGAAATTATTTGAGGATTACTTTGTACTGATTTTGTACTGCATGAACCATTGGTGAAATGACATCATAGGAGGGGTCAAGAAGATAATGAAGAATAGAAGATAATGAAGTGGTGCCATCAATTAACATATGAATTTTGCTGTCAACCAAAAAGTAAAAGGGAGATAAATAGTCACCAATACCTATTATTAGTTTATTAACATCAGCTATGACAAAAGGCCAATGAAATGCTTTTCTCAGTCCCAAATCCAATTTTAGCAAATTTTGCCCATAAGTCTTAATTTTGGTTCCATTTGCAGCGAAGAGTTTCAGCTTTGCAACAGATCTTTTCTTTTTGATAATAGTAGAGTCACGAAACTTTTGGTGCCAGTATCGATTAAAAATTGGGTGGCACGCTACTTGTCATGAATAAAAACCTGCACAAGCTGGTAGCTGATGTGGGTTCGGGGATGTTTTGTATAGCCTGAACTTTCGTCGGAAAAGGTCTTATTCCTTCAGGTGTGATTTTGTACTCCAAATAATTAAGTTTTGAAGTGCCATTTGTCATGAATCTCTACCCCTTGGCTGTCGTCTGCGACACTTGGGGACTGCAGATTTTCCTGCAGATGAACGTTGTTTTTTTTAAGCCAATTGCAAGGATTATTGCATTTGAAAGCCTTATCCCCAAACCTTGGGTGATAATAACATAAACCTTCGTTTCTGCTAGTATGCCTATTAACAGAACAATAGAATAATGTTTATTCTTCCATTAATGTCTAGAATAATGTCTTCTATTCAGTTCGCTAACCTGTAGGGATAACTCTGAAATCTGCTCCTGTAATTTAACTAAAACATTGTCATCTCTAAAGAAAGCTACAGTGGCATTCTGATGTGATGGGGGATTTTATTTCCCACATTCTACTGGCCATTGTCACCAGTTTGGCTAAATCATCGCCTCTAATGGATAAAATGCTTGATATTGCCATGGGTAATCTTCGAAGCCAGAAAGTTTTAAGGAAAGCTTGACCTACCTTATCTGAAGCTAAATTCTTCTTTTCCCATAACAACTGTAAAGGTTTTCTATCACACAATTCCACCTTGTTTAATAATTTGGGGGTCTTTTGCATTTCGGCTTCGGCAAAGATAGAAATTAATCTGTCTTTAATAGCCACATACTTGTCGTCCCTTGGGGGATTGATCAGAATGTCTGACACTTGTGATACTATTTCAGCATCAATGAAACTCATGACATAATTGTATTTCGTTTGATTTGTCATAATTGCAGCATTTTGAAATGGAGCTTAATTGGAGAAACCTTATCTTTGGATCCAGTTTCCAAAACGCTGGGACTTTAACGCTAACTCTAGCGTTCAGTGTTGAAGTGTCACTTTTGTTTTCAGCTTCGTTTGCCTTTTTTTTTTTTTTTTTTTTTTTTTTTTTTTTTAATCAAGAAAGCCACATTTGTAGAGTATATTTACTTTTAACACAAGCAAAACAACTGTAACACAAGTATCATATCTCATTACATTTCTTTTTAAGAACTAGTAGAAACTTATAAAAATTGCAGAGAATTAATCAGAATAAAGAGATGAATACATCGGTCATTAGATGCAATTAAAAAATGTGTCGCACATATTATGAACATCTGTCTACGATTAAAATTATCTGATATAGTGAGTTAAATATTGTTCTTTAAAGAACATCAGAAGTCTAATATCTAACTTTGAAATAACTAACATAACTTTGAAAATTTTCACATATTTTACTCAATTTTTTTCATATCTACATTTCAGTTACAAGTTCAAAACATTTAACACTTCTTTAAGTTACTTAACTCTTGCCTTCATTTTTCATTTTCAATTCTTGAGTAACGTGTCCAGTAGTCATTAGTGAAGTGAATTGTATAAGATCTGAAGTAAGAACAAACTTCTTTAAATAATTTTATTAATGAGAAAACAGGATAGGAACAAATATCAAGTGGCCTTTTGAAAACAAAATTCCAGTGAATGTTTATCTTTCGAACAGTCTTTTCGTGTTGCCACTTTACGAAAAATTAAAACATGCAGAAATTAAAGATGAGATGAAAAGGAAACAGATCATTGTATTTTCAGCTTAGACTGTGATTTAATTATGTGTGATATTACAAATAAATTAGTAGTTAGTTAATGAAGAATTATTTATTGTCAACTTTTTTTTTTTTTTTTTCCCAGATCCTCAGTTTCATGTTTGGTCTCATGACTTTCTATCATCAAGGTAACTATTATATATGTTGGCTTCTTTGTATTATTTTTATATAAAACATCTTGCTGTTATGAACTTTGTTTTTTTACATATGTCTATCACTCTAAATTATTAGATTAATTTATAGAATACTTTATTATAAAGGAGGAATTCTGCTCATGTTATATGCTGAATGTTGTGAATAGCTAGTAATAAAAATAAATATAACAAAATACAAGCAGTTATAGGAATTCAAGACTGTCAACAAACTGAAAAAGCAAATTCAAGGTTATAAAATGCTCTTAGTTTGCTTCAGAGAGAATAAAACATGCTACTATATACCTTGAAAATGACATTTGATCTGTGAAGCTAATATAAGTCACAAAGAGCCAGGGTCGTGATTATATTCCATAAAATTCAGAAAACTGGATATAATTTATTAACTGATACTTGTATTCAAATTCATAAAAAATATACTTTACTAATTATTATTTAAGTAAAAAAAAAAATTTTGAACTTTTCGTCTTCTTTCTGAAAAATAGTATTTTTTAACTTTGTTATAGTGTTCAATTTCATAGACAGGTTTTTTTTTTTTTTTTAGCTTTGCTTTCACACTTATACAGTAATTCAGCTATTAATAAAGAATCTAATTTGAGTTACTAGTCTTCTGGGGGAGGAATCATGTGCATAATCAGATCACATACTCAGTATTCACTTAATGAAACAAAAAGGTCACATTCATACCAAATTTTTACTTCATCGTCAGCATAGCATTTAGTTATACTTTTGTTTGCTTTATTTTGATTACAGGCTTTGTAGTTTGAAATCTGGCCAAAGGTATTCTTTCATCCTAACAGTGTTAATAAATGTTGCTTATGTATGGGTTCGTAATGGATTGAATGCACAGTGAACTGATGAAAGTGTGATGAAATTTATTTTCCAAAAACACTTCACAGTTCTGGAACTTTTTCATGCTCTTCTTAGTATGACAGCAGAATCACTAGCTACCCCTTCAAACTACTAAGAATGTTCAACACTATGCTAATGCAAAGTGCATCAAAAATTGAAAGCTCGCAAGGTGATCTCTCAATACTCTGATCTAATCTCTCTCCAATGTTATCAGTTTTTCCTTGTTTGCAAGAGAAATTTCCAGTAACTTAATTTCTCAAAACTTCTGGAAGGCACACACAGTTCATTACGTAGAGCCAATACAGTTACAGTTAAACAGGAACTGGATCAGTTTCATTGGTTCAGACCCAAATGTTGCCAAATTTGGGGACTTTTGGCAGTTTCTCACCATATTTGGTAACAAAATTAGTTGCCAAAACCATTGCCAGCTTGGTGGTGTGTATTGCCAATTTGGCAAATAGCCATTTACCTCAATTAATGGACTTGTGTACCTTTTATTTTCTGGCAATGCTGTGCATTCTGAGGGTTTTTATACTATTTAATGTAGGAGATACTACAATTTACATGTAATTTCACTAAACTTACTTACATATATGGAAAATTCATTATAATATTTTCAATGAAATTAAAATTTATAAACATTATGTTCATTCTTTTTTTTTTTTTTTTTTTTTTTTTTTTTTTTTTTTTTTTTTTTTAAGTTTGTATAATGAAATGAGTTAAGTAGCAGTTAGCTTTTTAACAAACTGTTGTCTTATTATGCTATTAAACTATTAAATAGTTTCAGTATGGTTTTATATCTTTAGGAAAAAGATTAATAGTTAAGAGATTTTCATATAATTTCATAAATTTAGTAACTGGACTGTGAGCAAGTCTTATCACTCCTGCATATATTAATGGGTAAATTTTGTAAAGAAAGAGCCTCCTAGAGGAAAAAGTTTTAAATGTTTTTCAAAAATTATATGAAATTCAAAGCATGTATTCTTATTAATTTTAAATGAGTAAATGCTTGTATTGTATGACTGAGCATCATGACTCTATTAATTAGGTTTTCTAAATAGAAAGTTAGGTTTATAAGAGTAAATTTTATTGGTTTTATTTGTCTAATTATATTGTATCAAAATTAAGTTGTTAAACTATTTTCAATCATAGGTGTCAATTTTTGAATTAATCAATCTTGTGTGGAGGAAGGAAATGTAAAGGAATCAAATGTGTCAGATTATGTGTATGAGCTCTTTATGTAAATTTTTCTCAAAAGAGAATTTTTCCCATTTAAAATTGTAAGCTCAGTTAATATCTTTATTATTAATTATGAAAACTTTTAAATTCTCTGTTTTGTTTAAAAAATATGAGCATATGGTAAAAATTTTATATATTACAACAACTCATCTCTAGAAAAAATATATGATTTCCTTTTGGTATAGCATCTTAGGTTGTTAATGTTTATTTTGGAAAGTTTTTTTGTATACTAATTTGAAATACTTAACTGATGTAAATTATACCGTCATTGCTGCTTGTCCTAAAGTGCATTTAAAATACTGTAAATAAATGAAAGTTTATCTTACGAATCTGAAAATATTTAAAATTTGTCTTAATTTAAAGAAATGCAAATTTATTTAAATTATTGATTTTGCTACAAACATTTTTAAGTATTATTTTGTTTAGCATAAAAAATATTGATAATGACAAAATGCTGAAGACAGCAGTAGTAATGAAATCTCACTCAAATATTAGACCAGTGAATCTCCAAAGTGGATACCAGCTGGTGTGCAAAATGATACTGGGGAGTATGCCAAAAGTAGTAAGCTCATGATCATTTGCAAGTGTATTTTCACGTGTATTATATTACATGGGGTATAACTTATAATTATTTTCATCTTAAAAGTATGCATTCAAAACAGTTTGGAGATCACTGTGTTTGACTCTTCAAAATCACAGCTTATTTTATGGTGTAGTTATAGGAATTCTGATCATAACAAAGTTAATGTGAGAAGTATTTAGTTTGATAAGAAAACAAAATATAATTTTGTATCATCAATTTAAAACATTTTGTCTGAGAAACATGATGTATTTAAAAACTTTCGAGGAACCTGCTAAACTAATTTTAAATTCCTATCAAAAAGCAAATTCAACAATTTCTGTACCTCTAAAAATAACAGTTTTAAAATACAAGTTAAAGCTTCTGTATTTTTCGTGCTTCCATGTTTATTTTTCTTTTTCAAATTTGTAGTTGAACTGAGAGATTTAATTTATAATTTATTGAAACCTATGTTGGTTAGCTTACTATTAATTCAAAGGTGTTATATACACACACTGGCCAATGAACTAAAAACCGAAGATAAATATTTTATTGGACTACCTTTTGCATGGATAACTGCTATGTTTCATTTGGGCATAAAGTCTACATGCTTCTGGAGTGCATTTGTGTCCCAAGAATACCATGCATTGGCTATGCATGGTATTGTAGACCTTGTAAATTAGATGGAAGAGGAGAGCGCTGTCTGATGTTCTTTCCACCATATCCCATATATTTTCTACAGGGTTAAGATCCAGGCTATGCGGTGGCCTAGGAAGTTGTTGGAAATCAGACTGATGTTCAGTAAACCAATTTTGAACACTTGTGGCATGATATATAGTTGCTTTATCATCCATGAAGTATCTGTCACCATCAGGGTAAAAATGCAGCATTGCAGGGTGCACTTGATCTGCCAGTATATCTAGGTATCTCATAGCTGTTTTTTTACCCTCGAGGAATATAAGGGCACCACTTACGTACCTCATATCATGATACTCCCACCAGACCCTTGCTAGCAAGGCACCAAGTGCTAGCAAGGCAAGATGGATTAATGCCTTCATGGGGTTCTCACCAAATTCTACATCTTCCATCAGTGCAAAATATGGTGTAACGGGATTCATCTAACCACATTACCCATTTCAATCCTCAGAAGTCCAGTGTCTTCTTTCCTGACACCACTGCAAACGAATTCTTGCATGTCGGGCAGAAATGAATGGTTTACTCACAGGCGCCCGACTGTTCATTCCTGTCCTGCAATTCTCTGTGCATGGTTTAAGATAAAGTCTGTTGGGAAGAGCTTTGGTTGATGACCTGTGTCAGTTGAAGCACAATAAAGTCCCTGTTCTGCTGTATAATTCGTCATAGACACACCAATTGCTCTCATGGAAAACTGTGGTTAAACCCAGTGACATCTTCTAGAGAAGGACTGTGGGTTCTGATTCTAACTTTTGAAAATCTTTGATACTGCTGCTTTTGAGAACCCAGTGAGATTTGCTGTATTTGAAATCGAGGCTCTTGCTAAACGGGCACCAACAATAATTCAGATGATGAAAGAGCTGTCATTTTACCCATTTTATTTCGTTCATCGTGAGAAACACTCTTACACCTTACTTATACTAACATTCTAACCACATTTAACCCACATCATAAAAAAATTTTGCATACTTCATGCCTAGCATGTATTCAAATAAAAATCTCAAATCAATCTAATTAATTGGCCAATGTGTGTATATACTAAATGCGCCAATCTATTTTAGAGCAGAATTTCTATGAAATGTAAAAGTAAATTTAATGTAATTGTTTCAATCATGATTTAGTTTTTAAAAAGAAAAGTGGAACTTTTAATGTTTAAATTTTTTCTAAAGTAGCTTTACAAATTTTTCTTAGCTCTAAATTTTTGTGCTTCTGGTAATTGCTCTTTTGAATGTTTTAAACTTTGTATGAATTATTGGCTCCTGACTCCAAATTAATCTTTATGGTTAGAACTCATTCAGTTTTGTTGTTTGTTTCTTTAAATTACTTTAATCCATATTTTTTTATTCAAAAATAATCTTTATTAAAGCTCTTAGCAACCATAAACAATATTTTTTAGAACAACAAAACCGAATAATCTTTTCGTTGCCGTTCCAAAACGATATTAACTTTTATGTAAAATTTCTGTATAAGTTCAAGTCCGAACATGAATCAGATTTCTGTCTAAACCTCACTGCTTATTATGCATTATTTTTTCTTTCATATTTTCTTTTCAAATGGTATGTTACAATTTTATATATATATGATAATTGTATATATTTAGATAAAGTTAATAACACATTTGGAAAACTAGGAG